CCGAAATTAGTCTTGTTGGTTCTCAGCAGTATTTTATTTCCCATTGTTGTTTTGTTTGTTCCCGTCCAAGGCTTTGAGAGAGTTCAAAGTACTTTGGCAAATAAACAACATTGCTCCTGATGGAGACCCAACTGCAAGGGGAAATCACCCAGGGGGCCCCAGAGTAGCTGATGAAGGTGTTGAAGAGACAGGTTATCACTTCTTTCTGTTTGACCCAGATTCTCTCTTTAAAATCCTAACATAAATCCTTTAGGGATTACTAGGTCAACTTAAATGGAACTGGAAATTGCCTTTTAACAGCAACATCAATTAAGAAATGGACATGAAGTCTTCATAATGCATGCCATGGAGCTGGGGAGACATTACACTAAGCAATTTGAGAATCATGCTAGCATATGAAGCCCATGGATAAATTGTTTCGTAGGAGTTGTAAATGATATTTCAAGTACGATTTATCTCCGTAAATCTCTTCAAACTATGCACACAATTGGTGTACAGTTGTTATTGATGCTTCTTGGTAAAGATGGGAGATAATAAACAAATCACAGAATCCCATCACCCTATAACCTAGCAAGATAAACAAAAAATAGATGAAACCATAAAAAAGTTCAACAACAAGAACCAGACAACCCCATATCATACATTTAAAAAGATGACAGCCTTAGGTGCCAGTTAAGCGACTGACTCTTGATTTTGGCTCAGGTCATGATCTCCCAGTGAGATTGAACCTCACGGTGAGACTGAGCCCCACGTCCGGCTGTGCACTCACAGCACAGAGCCTGCTTAGGACTCTCTCTCTCTCCCTCTCTCTCTCTGCCCCTCCCCTGCTCACACATTCTCTCAAAATATATAAATACACATTTTTTAAAAAGATGACAGCAAAGAGAGTAACACAGGCAGGTTAGTGAGGGCTCCTCTACCCACTGTCACCCCTTACAAACATTACTGTTGAGTCAGAAAAGTCCCAAGACTTCCATTTATGCCTCCTAACTATGTAGAGAAGTAGACTAAACAAATACTTCCTTATAATGGGGAAGGGTGGAGTGGAGAAGTAGAAAATCTCCCAGGTGAAATGGACGGAGGGAAAAACTTGGGCTGAGTCTCGGCTGGAACACAGGCTTCAGACCTCCATGAGCAGCCTAAGAAACAATCGGTGACATGAAGATATTATCCCATGCAGTAGAATAAGCTCTTATTACAAGGTAAATTCCATTAGTGAAGATTGAACACAGCCGCAGAGGAGATTGCTAAGCCCATTTTTCAACAAAGGCTGCAAACAGCTTTATCAAAGTTGTTCCACAATCAAAATACTGGAAAGTGGTTAGAACTCAATTCCCAGTCTTCAACTATAAGTCAGAGACAAGATAGATTAATGAATGAACTTAACATGAAATAGGACATTTATATTTGATTGTATAATGGATATTACTAGAAATTGCATCCCTTCAATCTCCATCAAGCTGAAAGCCTCTCTCTTACCTGGTCGTGAGATTCAAAGAGTGAAAAGTGCCTGTTGAGGAAGGTCATCAAAAAGATGTGACTGCCAGTTGACCTATGAGCTGGACCTGGGCACTCAGAGGCTCTTCATCCCTTCTGCTGTCCTTGAAATGTGCATTCCACTTGCCTTTCCCACTTCTAGAGGCTCCCGGGCCTTGAGATAGTGATGTGGTGTTAAGAACCACCTGCATAGTATACATGACTGAACCTAGTTACAGCCTCTATGTAAACTTATGGTTTGACAGGTGGGTTTGGGGATCCATTCACCTTGCTGCCACCCAAGACAAACCTCATAAGTTCCCTTCGTTTATTAAAACTGCCACCTATCTATCTGGAGTGGCAAGTCTCTTGCTTTGGTCTCTTCCTGCCCTCACAGTAAGGGGGGACTGGTTTCAGATTAGACCAGTGAAGCTTCCTGGAAGGTTACCAACCAACAGTGCCCTAAAACTCAGGAGGACAAGAACCAATTCCCTTGTAAGTAGTGCCATGAAGAATTCCCATAGGAGATCTAGAGGCCACTAAAACAGATTAGTGAAAAGTAAGAATAAGAAAATCGATCAGGGAAAGTGAGCATTAAGAAGAAACTGAGGGGTACCTGGGTGGCTTAGTCGGTTAAGCATCAGACTTCAGCTCAGGGCACGATCTCATGGTTCGTGAGTTTGATCCCTGTATCAGGCTCTGTACTGACAGTGAAGAGCCTGCTTGATTCTCTCTCCCTCTCTCTCTGCCCCACCCTCAACAGTGCTTTCTTTTTCTCTCTCAAAATAAATAAATAAACTTAAAAAGGAGGAGAAGAAGAAGAAGAAGAAGAAGAAGAAGAAGAAGAAGAAGAAGAAAAAGAGGAGGAAGTCTCCTCAGACTTTCCTTGATCACTATATCTAAAGCTGCTCCCATTCACTTTTTGAGTCAATATCCTGGATTTGTATTTCTTTCTTTGCTCTTATTTCAGTTTTTATTTATCAGTTGTTTACTTATTTATTATGTATTTCTCTCTCAAAACTGTAAGCCTTCTGAGGTCCAGGACCATGTCTGATTTATTCATTCCTATTCTTATAGATCCCAGAACAGGTTTGGTGCCCAGCAAGTATTTCTTGATTGAACAGATGGGTAATTGCTCATGGTCTTAAAAAGGCAATCCTATGAGATGTGAGGTCCAAATTAAGATAGCACCTTACTTGTCTTTCTCTCCATAGTGCCTAAACACTCAGTAGCTGATACCTTGCAAGGACTTAACAAATATTTTTGAATGAATTAATAACTGAAGCTGTTTGTAACCTAAAAAAAAAAAATCGACGTATCACTCATCTTAAGATCATTATATGAATTAATCAGTAGCCTCTGATTTTTTTGCAGTTGGGTAGGCTCATATGTTTATTTTCTATATCATGGTATTTTTTTTTAATTTTTTTTTCAACGTTTTTATTTATTTTTGGGACAGAGAGAGACAGAGCATGAACGGGGGAGGGGCAGAGAGACAGGGAGACACAGAATCGGAAACAGGCTCCAGGCTCTGAGCCATCAGCCCAGAGCCTGACGCGGGGCTCGAACTCACGGACCGCGAGATCGTGACCTGGCTGAAGTCGGACGTTTAACCGACTGCGCCACCCAGGCGCCCCTATCATGGTATTTTTTAATGGACTTGCACATTACTTTCTTTATACTCCCTTTGTTAATATGGCACAATAATATAATTTATTCCTCTTAGGTTTTTCAGGCAGTTTCTGAGCAAATACTCAATGAATCCTTTCTGTTTCTCAATTGGATGAGACTTGATGAATAAAACTGTGAATACAACTGTGAAAGGCATTCCCTTTTTAAAAATGAAATCATGGGAAGTTTATATAGTTTCTCATTGACAGAGATATTTTGAACTCACTAGACTCTTTGGGAAAAAAAAACTAGTATCTATGAACTGGAAGAGAAGCTTATGACTCATTTCAAACTAGAAAAATCAAGCTAAATTTTTCTGATTTATTTCTGGTGTGTTGGTTCATTTCTATTTATTCTCATTAGCTAGGCACTATGGAGAAATATATATATAAAATAGAGATTCTTCCCCCAAGGAGCTGATCAAACAGCAGGAAAAAAATTCCAACAGCCCTAACAAAGGCCAGCCTGGTCCGAAGTGTATAATAGGAGCATAGAGTAAGGGAAGGCATATCACAACTGATCGATATGATCAGTGAATGCCTTATGGAGAAGGTAGCATCTCAGGTGGGTCTTAAAATGGGCTTATTTCAATAACCATTATGATATGGGTTACATGGAACATTTTATATGTGCTAATTGGATAGAACCAGCAATTCAAAAGGCCATTTTTAATATCCCTATGTGTTGTTACATCAAGGAAAGCTTATTGGGTAGCCAGAAGTTTAAAAATTAAACATAAGGGGTGCCTAGGCAGCTCAGTCGGTTAAGCATCCAACTTTGGCTCAGGACATGATCTCATGATTTGTGGATTCGAGCCCCATGTCAGGCTCTCTGCTGTCAGCGTGGAGCCTGCTTCAGATCCTCTGCATCCCCTCTCTCTGTCCCTCCCCAGTTTGCGTATTCTCTCTCACTCTCAAAAAACAGATAAACTTTAATAAATAAATAAATAAAAATTAAACAAAAATGCACACAGACATATATGCATAAATAATATACACAAATTTTGTGAAATTAATGAGCTCAAGAACATGAAAAAAACATTTTTCAAAATATTTGATAAGACCAGTTTAAAATCCTAAAATTTTAGCTTTTTTTATCTAGTCCACTTCTCTTATTTTAAAATTAGGGGGGCAAAAAAAAGTCTTGGGAAGATGAATCAACCTTCCCAGCTGACTAACGGCAGAGAGGGCTCCACCCTACATTTCCCACTTTGACCAGATTATCTTGCCATCATGCTCTACTACCTTCCCAATAATCAAGTATGAATTATCCTATTACAGTATACATGTATTTGCTGGCCACATCTTGGATTTCATAGAAAACAAAATTCATAAAAAATATCTCTCTTCTCCCACTCAAAAAAAAAAAAAAAAAAAAAAAAGTAGGCCAGAGTTGGCAGTGGATACAGTTTCAAACTGTTATTGACCAAAATTCTAATCCTTTAGTCATCACAACAGGCCTATGAAGTAGGCATCATTATCAATGTCAATTTTACAAATAAAGAAGCCGAGGCTGGTATACTTGAAAACTTGCCCGGGATCACCCAGTTGGGATATAAAAGAGTTGGGGGCTTGAATTCATGCGGAGGGAGCCTAAGCCTTTACCATTAGTTACCAAAACCGTTTTGTAGATGGGAGATCATCTCCATCAGCTGACTCTGGACTGCACAGACTGATTATATTCATGCTTTCATCTCCATCACCTAGCACAGTCTCTTCGTACATTATAAGCCTATTTCATAAGTTACTCAAATAAATATGGATTATTAATTCAATGATGCTGACTCACTGCTCCAAACGTAAAACCAATGTGATTTATTCTTTGGTTAGGGAAATAATTAGGAATCTGGCAGGCACTGGATGTTGGGTCATGTCCCAGAAACCAGAAAAAAATATCTAAGAAGCACCAGATGCTGAGGCGAGCAAAGGCCAAGGAGGAAGGGACCACCGGAGGTGGAAAACTGGCGGCCCAGGTCGGGGCCGGGAGAAGGGCGGGCCTATTGTTGGGGGAACTTGCTTCCGGGGAGGGGACAGCAGTGCGGGGCGGACCAGCACCCGGAAGTGGTGACGCGGGAGACTGTGGGGAACTGTGAGGATCTGTGAGCGGCGTCAGGTACGCTCCAGGCTTTTTGTCCCCGGGTTCGAAATTCCCACTTTAGCCTTGGAAATTCTTTTCTTCACACCTCCTCACGTCTCCTAAGCCATCCACTCCCGTCAGGCCTGGTGCGCCGAGTCCTGCAGTAGAGTTGGGTCCCTCTGGTCCCCGGCACGCGGGGGGAGGGAGCGGGAGCCCCGGGCCTCGGGACCGAGCGTGCGTTCACCGAGCGCAGCAGGGAGGGGAGAGGAGGAGCCCCACCCCCACCCCCAGTCTGTCCTCGGGCCCCGCACGGGCCCCGCCGAACCGGGGAGGGGGAGAGACGGAGCTGAGGCCCAGATGCTGGTTGGCATAAGAGCCAGGGAGAAAACGGCGCTGTCACCCACCTGAGGGGGGTGGTTGCTGCTGGGCCGGAAGGTCACAAGTCAGTGCCTGCTTCTCACCGATGAACTTGACCGGCACTGAATCACCAGCTTGTTTCCTAGTTTCACGGGCAAGAAGGCCACAGCCACTGAAGAGATGTTGATGGAGGAAATTGGGGGGTACCGTGAAGACACCTAGAAATGGATTGGATGGCTTTTCAGCCTGTGTGACAAACTCCTACACCGGGCGGAACGGCATGCGATAACAGCCAGTGGAGTATTAGCGATGGTTTTAAAAAGAAAAACACTCCCAGAGTCTCATTAGAACAGAGGCGTTTGGGAGGAAAATCAAGCTGAAATTAAAATGAATTTAATTCAAGAGCTGGGATCTGAGAACTGTAGTAAAACCTTTTTATTTAAAATATTAGGAACTAAAAAGAAAAATGTTGGGGGGGGGAAACGGGGGAAAGTTTTGCATTAACTACCTCAGATTATCCTATAGTTCTATTAAAGAGTAACAGTTATCAAATACTGATGATTGTTAAGCTTTACCCCAAAAAAGAATTTTGCTGTATTTATTATGGGGTGCTAATTACAATTATTTTCCTGCCTTAAAGATCAAGTTATAATTTTTAAAGGGATTTTTATATAGTTTTACTTGAATAATAATTCAGTAAGCTGAAAATGCACAGCTAAAATTCTTTCATTTAAAAACCACTAATAGTTGTCAGATGTCATATATTTGATTTAACGTCCAATCAAAAAGAGGAAGGAAACGAGATTTGTGAAGTAACAAATTGTCAAAGCAATGTCTGTTGTGTTGTACTTCATTTGAAACAATAATATGACCCGTAAAATTACTTTAGGAATTTTATTTACCTTTTACTTTGGACTAGTTTCCATTACCACTTTCACATACCAGGCATTGGCATATGCTCTTTCCTTAATCCAGAATGCCTAAATTTCAAATTTGTATTTTCTCCTTGCACTTTGCTTGTGAAAAGTCTAAAGTGTCTCATATTTTTAGATTGTATTAATCCTAATTCTTCTAAACACTCTCCCATCCCCAAGTGTAAATGCTAGCCGTTTTGTGAAAGTCCATTTCTTCATCCTAACTGGATGAGTGTACCTCTGGCATAATGTAGAATTTCTTATGATTGGTTCCATAGGACTAAAACTAAAACTCATTCTTTGCAGTTAGCTGGTTATACCCAAAGGAATTTGAGGGGCAGGGGGACACAATTCAGTCCATGGCAATAAGCACACTACCAGGAAATACAGCAAAAAATACTCATAGCATGATAGTTATGAAATATTTTAAACACCGTACATTGAGAATACCTATATTTAAAAGTCACACATCAGATTTAGCAGTACACCAGATTTTGAGTCCTGTCATACTGATGGCAGGAAGATGAGTTGAACAATGGAATAGTTTTTTGTGTAACAGGGACAAATAATTTCTACATATGCACATAACATTGCACTAATTTTAGATTTGTTTAGAGAAAACTTGGGTGGCATGCAGAAGAATGGAGAAGCCTTAATGCTTTTGACTATTATTAATAATGTGTATAGCAAAAATTTTCCACATGCTGTGGAGCTCAAGTAGGTGCTCTATGCGTGGAGTATAGAAACGTTAGTATTTGACTTATTGTCACTATTGTACAGGTTTTGTTTACTTCTTCATCTATTTTTTAACCCTATTTACTCTTTACTAGTTTAGACATGAGTCAAAGCAGCGAAGGATGTATGAAAAAGATTAGCGGTGTGAATCTTGACAAGCTTATAAGTGATTTCTCACAGATAGAAAAGGTATGTAAAGATATAAAACAGTTGTAGTAGAAAAACTATATATAGTATAAAAGCATATAGTATAAAATTTATAGTATAAAAGGGAAATAGATTTTGCCAGTGGAAGAATTCGGGAAGCAAAGAAAAATGTACCAAAAAATAAGCAAAGTAAAGACAATGGAAATATATTTTTGCTAAGTCCTTTCTCATTTTTAAAATCCATATTTAAAATATATTTCATTTTGGATCATTTGTACTAATACATCAAAATGTTTCTGGGACAAGGAAATAGTTGATATACTTTGGCTAAAGTTAAAAGGAAAATACATACTTAAATGTTCAAAATGTCCATAAACTCAGGAATGGTTTAATAAGAATTGAAATAAAATAAACTCAATCCTCAGTCTCTTACCATTATGACTAACTCTAATTTTTTTTTTTTTTACTCTTTTCCTCTGCTGTTCCTTTTTCCTTCTCTGTTGCCTAAAAACAGATGTATTTGAAGTTCCTCTCCCCAAATCTAGACAAATTACATGATAGACCAAACCCACAAGTATATATTGGGTTTTTTTCCCCCTTGTCTGCCTTGGAGAGGAGTAAGAATAGTTGTTGAGAAGATATAGGTGAATAAATGAAAGATTTGGGGAGTGGATTTTTGAAGCAAGGGTGGGAAAGAGAATAATGCCTACCTCTATTTTCTCTCTTTATCATTCTTCTCTATTCCTTCTTTTCCTCTGCACAGTCTGGTATGTCCATAATAAAGGAATTTTCATGACAATGGGTATTTTGAGATAGCATTATGAGCTTTTTTTTAAGTAGGCTTCACACCCCTGCAGACCCCAATGCAGGACTTGAACTCATGATCCAGAGATCAAGACCTGAGCTGGGGTCAAGAGTCAGACATTTAACTGACTGAGCCACCCAGGTGCCCCACGTTATGAACTTCTTTAAACAATGAACTTGAGTTTTCTTAACCAAGTGATTCTTACTAAAACAAGAGAGAATAGAGAAAGAAAGAAGAAGCACTGTTCGTGGGAGAGGAATTGGTGCAAAATTTTTGGAGATTATTTAGAAATATCTGTCATATCCTTAAATATTTTAAATAAGAAATATTGATTTTTTGATGTGATAAAGTATTGTGATTGTATTTTTAAGAATCTTACCTGTTAGAGATACGTATAGATGGTGATATTTGTGGATGAAATAATATAATGTCAGGGAGTTGCTTTAAGATAAATTCAGAGGCAGAGAGAATGGGGAAGTGGGTAGAGATATAGATGATACAATGAATTGAGGATTTTTGAAGCTGTCTGAAGGGTATATGTCAGCTATTACACTGTACACAAAGATACCAAAAAGGTATGTTGAAGGTTTATTCATTATTTGTAATAGCAAAAAAAAAGTGAAAACAACACAAATTATCCTCAGTAAGGGGACTAGTTAAATAAATTACAGTATATTCATAAGTGAAACTCAATGCAGGTCTTAAAAAGAACGAAGTAGACCTAAATGTGCTTGTATGGACATCATCTCCAAGATAATAGTTCTAAGTGGAACATCCAAGGTGCAGAACAGAGTATAATATGATCCTTTCCTATAGTTGTATAGTTAATCATAAAATATTTTGGAAATATGTATAAGGAATTGTTAACCATAGGACTGAGGGTTGAATAGTTGGAAAGAAGGGGATTCCAAGTTAGCTCATATTCTTACTTTTCATAACTTTTTATAACTGTTAGTCTGTTTTAATTTTTTGCCATGTTACTTTTAAAATTAGATAAATGATGGGACGCCTGGGTGGCGCAGTCGGTTAAGCGTCCGACTTCAGCCAGGTCACGATCTCGCGGTCCGTTGAGTTCGAGCCCCGCGTCAGGCTCTGGGCTGATGGCTCGGAGCCTGGAGTCTGCTTCTGATTCTGTGTCTCCGTCTCTCTCTGCCCCTCCCCCGTTCATGCTCTGTCTCTGTCTGTCCCAAAAATAAAAAAATAAATAAATAAACTTTAAAAAAATAAAAAATAAAAAATAAATAAAATTAGATAAATGAGGAAGTTGGCTTACATAAAACATATGCCAGACTTAATTATTAGACTTTCAGGTATTAAGTGGTTTGTATTTTCGTTAGTCTTCATATCATTAGGTAAAAAAAAATAAAATAAAAATAGCGACATTCCTTGCTTTGGTAATATATATTGTTTCTTCTACAGAAAATGATAGAAACCAGTGGAAAGAATAATATACTGGATATGCAGTTGGAAAAAACTAACTATTTGTTAAAAGTAACGCAAACAAAGGAGGTTTCAATTAAAAAAGGTTAGTTCTTTACTGCCTGAAGAAATACAAAATCTCATAAGGGTATTTTTTGGTACCACAACAATTAATATTATACCATACATTTGTAAAATATTTTAAATTCACATAGAACTTTCCGAGCTATCATTTCATTTTATCTTTTATAGCCCTGATACATAGGATTGGTATTACTAAGCCACCTCAATAATGAAGAAACATAGGATGAGAAAAATTAAATAATCTGTTGGAGACCACTAAACCAAGAAATGGCAAGTCCAAGCCTTCAAAACCATGGGAAAAAATAACAGTTGAATTCCTGTCTCACAATTACACCAAAAGAAATTTCAGATGGGTCAAAAATTTTAGTGCCAAAAATGGGCTGTTCTAGTCCAAAGCTCTCCCCTTACTTCTGGGACAACCAGGCCATGTGTGCCTCTCAGCTCCCAGCAACCAATTGTCCTCCCGGCTGTGTCCCTGGTCTTGGTCCATCCTTTGCAGGCCCACTAGCCTGCAGGGAACCTGAAAACCCAGGCTCTTTGCAGGGCAAGGTGCTGCTCTTTGAGAATGCCAACTTGCTTTGAGGCACAGTGGTCTGGGATTACACCCAGGTAAGTGAGCTTCAGCTGCACCTGCAGCCCTCAAGGCCCAGTAGTGCTTGGCTTCACTGTGCAACCAGTTCAGGGTATCTGGAGAACTCAAGAGAGCCAGAATTCCCTCATGTTCACATGGAACTATGAGAAGTTCCTGGTATGCCCCCAACAGTCTGTGCCTGACATTGAAGCCCTGCTGTACTGGAGCCCATCTGTGCCTTGGGTGCCCTTTGTACCACTGCTGGCAGGGCCGGGTGGTCACAGTGCTGTCCTCTGGGGAGGTTTCATCCATGATGGAGTTTTCTCTAAATTTTCGTGGAGGAATGCTTGATGTTTAGGAATGTTCCCCAGGATAGTTGCTGATCCTGTTCATCCCAACACCCTTTTCCCAGACCAACACTCCTCACTAATAAAGTGCCCTGTGTCAGGAGGGAAAGGAGAGAAAGCCATATGTATGTGCCCTTGACGTGGTGTGATGAAAATGGCACTTCACCTCTATGATCTTCCTCCTAAAGACCCATAACCCCATCTAACCATGAGATAAGCGTCAGACAAATCCCCAAAAAGGGCTTTTCCACAAAATACCTGACCAGCACTCTGCAAAACTGTCAAGGTCATCAAACACAAGAAAACGCTGAGAAACTAGCACAGCCAAGAGGACATTAAGAAGACATGATGAGTAAATGCAATATGGTATTGTGGATGGGATCCTAGAACAGAAAAAACATAAGGTAAAAACTAAGAAAATCTGAATAAAGTATAGATCTTAGTTAATAATAATGCATCAACATTGGTTCATTAATTGTAACAAACATCTCATACTAATGTTAGGTATTAATAACAGGGGAAACTGGGTGTAGGATATTTGGCAACTCTAATACCTTCCTGATTTTTCTGTACATCTAAAACTATGCCAACAAATAAAGTTAATTAAAGGTGAAAAAAATGAAACCACCCCAAAAAATAGAATAGAATATGGGTTTTTGTGGGGGTTTTTGTGTGTTTGTTTTTTAGTACGGAGAAGGCCTTTCCGCGTGTGACATCCATCAGTAGGCTTCTGGTTAAATTATGGCAGCTGATAAAAAGTAGTTCTATATGATACAGAATAATCTCCAAGATACCATAAATGAAAACAACAGTGTTCACAACCATCTATCATTTTTATAAAAATATCTTTGTACACACAGAAAACCCTCTCCCTGATACATTTGTATATCTCTGGAAAGATAAACAGCCTCAGTATCCTGGTAACAGTGCTTGCTTTGGGGGAAGGGAAACTGGTTAGTCTAGAGGCTGAAACTGGAGAGATAATCATTTTTTACTATACTAGTATTTCGTGTGTATTTATCATTTGAAAAAATAATTAAATACTTTTTTAAAATCCAGCTCTACTTATTCTAAATCTAATGGCCTTTTTACTGGATAATACGCAGCAGAAGTAAAAGAACTAGTAGGAATAAGTTTGTAGAGTCAAGTGTGTACCAACTGACCTAGAGAGGAATAGCAAACTACATATATGATTCGATTTGTTCAACAATAAAGAATGAGGTCATGACATTATATTTTCTACATTGGATACCAGATAAAGAATTTCTGTGCCAGTTGAAGATGATAATGTTAGTATTAATGGCCAAGTACTTTTCATACATAATTGTATTCAACATTTCCAAGTGCTTTGTGAAATAGATATTAATGTTCAAATTGCTAGTTAATGGCAGAGCCTAAATTGAGCTCAAAACCACCATTTATTTACTAAATTATACAGTATTAAGAAGTAGCTTAGGGGCACCTGGATGGCTCAGTCGGTTGAGCCGTCAACTTTGGCTCAGGTCATGATCTCGTAGTTTGTGAGTTCGAGCCCCACGTCAGGCTCTGTGCTGACAGCTTGGAGCCTGGAGCCTGCTTCGAATTCTGTGTCTCCCTCTCTCTGCCCCTCCCCTGCTCATGCTCTGTCTCTCTAAAATAAATAAATGTTAAAAAAAATTTTTTTTAAAGAAGTAGCTTAATATTCTGAGCTCTAGCTTTTAAGAAGCATTGGATAGGATAGTATTCATTCTAAAATCCAACAGAAATGATAATGTGGATAAAGGTTTGCAAAGAAAATTAAAAGCCATTATTCTAAAATAAGGAATGGTATTCTACCTTATGAACAATTTTTTTATTGAGCCATTTTCCTTTGGGAAAAAAAAAAGTGTTGAGACAGCCACCTTGTGTTCATATTTTGAAAATACACATTTTTTAAAAAATTCAGTATACTTTCAGTTTCAGGGCTCTGTTTTCAATTTGCTGATTACAGTTGACCCTTGAACAACACGAGTTTGAACTGCATGAATTCACTTACATGTGCATGTTTTTTTTGATAAAGACAGTACAATACTATAAATGTGTTTGCTCTTCCTTGTGATTTTCCTAATAACATTTTCTTTTCTCTAGCTTACTTTATTATAGGAATATAGGCTATAATACATAAAACACAAAATATGTGTTAATGACTTCATGTTATCAGTAAGGTTCTGGCCAATAGTAGGCTATTAGTAGTTAAGTTTTGGAACTTTTTTTTTGTTTAAAGTAAACTCTACATTCAATGTGAGGCTCGAACTCACAATCCCAAGATCAAGAGTCACATGCTCTACCAACTGAGTCAGCCAGATGCCCCAGTAATTCACTTTTTGAAGTCAAACGTCACACTCAGATTTTTTTTTCAATTTTTTTAATGTTTATTCATTTTTGAGAAACAGAGAGAGACAGAATGCGAACAGGGGAGGGGCAGAGAGAGAGGGAGACATAGAATCTGAAGCAGTCTCCAGGCTCTGAGCTGTCAGCACAGAGCCCCACGCGGGGCTCGAACTCACAAACCGCGAGATTATGACCTGAGCCGAAATTGGACATTTAACCGACTGAGCCATCCAAGCACATCCACACTCAGATTTTCAACTGCACAGGAATCAGCACCTCTAAACACCCATGTTGTTCAAGAGTCAACTGTACTGAAATAGCTTCAGCTATCTATTTATTCCTCTAAAAGGCACAAAGAGAAGTGATGGCAGAGTCTATGTCTCCTTAATTTTTTTAAGATTTTATTTTTAAGTAAGCTCTACACCCAATGTGGGGCTCAAACTCACAACCTTAAGATCAAGAGTCGCACACTCCACCGACTGTGCCAGCTACGTGCCCCCTTAATTTTTTAATTATAGCAGCTAACACAGTAACATATATGAAGTAGGCAATGTCAAGTGTGATTTAACCATCAATCTATTACTAGGAAATAGTAAAAGAGAAAAAATGGAGGATGGTGGGAACTTTGAGTGGGTGGTGGGAGGTGGTAGAGGGGGTACAAGGAAGAGTGAAAAACCACAACAGAAGAACCTTATATCTGCATAAAGCTTTTAACTTCTGCAAAGTACTTTCATTTCTATTAGCATAGTTGAAGAAAGTACTGGAGACTGAGTGTAGGACCTCTAACCGAAAGGCAAAATTTTGCTTTTTCCCTTCACAGTATGGGTTCTTTCCTTTAGTCAATAAATAGAAATACTATTGAATACCTATGAAATAGCCACCATATTAGAAGCAATAAATATCAAAATTGATAAGATATGATCTTTACCTGAAAGAGTTCACCATCTAGTAGGAGGAACCACAAATAAATGAAATGTGATAAAAGGAGAAAAGAGATATATACAAATTGTTGAGAGACAGAGGAGAGAAATAACAACAATAACAATATTGAACATTTGTGAGTAAATTTAGAGAGTACTATTTTCTCATTTGGTTGTCAGATTAGTCTTATATATGAGAATAGTCTTATATGTGAAGGAGGATAGGTATTACCCATACTTTTATTTTGCATATGGAGAATCTAAAGCTCAAAAAGCTTGTCCAGGGTGTCATAGCTAGAGAGTGGAGAGGAAACTCTATTCTATTTCCTTGGACTCCAAGTTTCATGGTTTCATCACTATATCCTATAATTCCCCAGGAGGTATTAAATAGCAGATTAAGAGCAGGATTTGAAATGAGAAAAACATATGCTCAAGTCCATACCTTCCACTTATTAACTCTAAAATCCTGGGCAAGTAACCAAACCTCTATGGATGACCATCTCTTTGTAAAATCAGGATAATACCAACTTCTCAGTATCATTTTGAAAACTAATTGGGGTAATGTTTATAATGCACTTAGTGTAATACCTGGCAGAGTAAACAATCAATGGTATTATTATACACAGGTAACTTTTTATTAGATGCAAATATGGTATTTAATATTTAACCATCAAAACAGATGCCCAACTAGAATGGAAGTTAGTATGTCATACCAGTGCATACTGGCTGAATATTGGTCTTGGGCCTCTAAAACCTAATGAAAGAGAATAAGGCGCAATATTTATTAGTTGTTAAGTCAACTACATAAAGGTGAAATTGTCCTATTGAAAAAAAAAGGTGAAATTTTCCTTAAACTTTAGGAGTTTTAATATTTGAAAAATATTGTTATTCTTTTATGAAGCCTTCATCACTGTATATTTAGCTAGTATAATTGTAAACTTAAACTAGTGCAACCTGTTCTCCCTAACCTTATAGTAAAAATGTGATAGCAATAACGATCAGAGTCTCTGATTCTGTTCTTGTCCTCTTTCCAGGGCGTCCAACCTACTCATATTACTCTAAAGGACCGCTCCTGGACTGGTCTTTGTGGTAGTAAAGTAGCTAAATCACAGACGTGTTGTTGGACTGCTGGGGTTCAAGCTGTAGCTCTACCACTTACTAAGTAGTGGTAATTAGTGGCAATTCACTAAACTTCTATGTGTCAGCTTCCTCATATTTAAATGAGACAAATACTAGGACCTACCTCATAGGGTTAAGAGGGCTAAATTATTCAATATTTGCAAAGCACTTAGAATAGCAATATAATATATATTATTTTCAGACAGTTTTTCCACTTACCCCTTTCTTGCTTCAGTTTACTATTATATTACCTGTCTATCAATCAATCAATCAATCAGCAAATATTTATGGAGTGCCTGCTATGGATCACAACTGCTCTAGAGAAATGGTGAACAAAACAAAATAGTCCCTGATCTCCTACAGCTTACAGCCAAGTGGACTGCTTGAAATTACAGAAGTGTCCATGTCTGTTGCTACCCATAAAAGGTTTAGCTTTTTCTAGTTATAACCAGCTTATATTCACATGTCAGGGTATGAATGCTTGCAATGAACACTCCATCTCCCATTGTGGCAGAAGTCATTAGTACCAAAGTTGCTAATTCCTTGTAACTCAGCACATTGAGTTTTTACCTCTTTGCCCCGGGACTTAGGCATGAGTACTAAGAGGACAGGTTGGAGGACAGTGAGGAAGAAAAACATTATCTTCTCCCAAATGACACCTCACCAACTCTGGCTCTCGATCTTAACAAAATTTAGGGTACCTTGACTCTCTTTCCTTGAGATGTTCTTTCATGGAAAACTCACATGGATACACCACACATAGTTCCCCAGGCATGTCCAAGTATGCCTTAACTTTAGGGTAGATATTGCTAAAGCACATGGGGTAGGGAATCCCTACTATACTAAATTTATTGTGGTGTGGAAAACTCATTACTAAATCCCAGAATGCATTTGGTTTAAAGGGTAATTAAAAACTACTTATTATATTATTTACTTTGAGATACCTGGCTGCTCCATAAAGATCTCATAATTGTCAGGGCGCCTGGGTGGCTCGGTCGGTTGGGTGTCCGACTTCGGCTCAGGTCATGATCTTACGGTTGGTGAGTTTGAGCCCAGCGTCAGGCTCTGTACTGACAACTCAGAGCCTAGAGCCTGCTTCAGATTCTGTGTCTCCCTCTCTCTCTTTGCCCCTCCCCTGCTCATGCGCTCGCTCTCTCTCTCTCTCTCTCCTCTCAAAAATAAACATTTTTAGAAATCTCATATTGTCAATTATTTTAAGTCTTTCAACTTTGAGAGAATATTTCCAAAATGAAAGAGAATAATTTTCAAATAAATGTGTCTTTCATATTTTAGAATGTTCTGCTCTTCATAATATGATAAAAGGGCTACAGCAGACCATTGAACATCAACATAATTTGAAAGGTAAGTTAGAAAAAAATCTTTGAAAATATGATATATTTGAGTGCCTTTAAAAATAGAGTTTTTACATCACTGACAGTAAGTTTCTTTTAATCTGGTCTTGTTAAACTCATCAGCTAATGCCAAGACTTCTCATTACAAAATAATACGTTCCTAAATTGTTATGAAATAAGAAATACCATGCTGAACAGAATAATTCAGTCATATTCTGACAGGAACATCAGAGGATGTTTTATAATCAGTTATAATAATTCTCTTTATTATTTTCAAAAGTTTAGAAATATATTTGTCTTCAGAAGTACTCTTGGTTTTTCATGATCCTGTGTTCAGTTTTGAAGGGTAGGTATTTCATAGTAGTTACATGATGAATATACTATTCAAACAGCAGTGATAGTTCATTATTTAGTGTTTTATCAGAGACTAAAGGTATGTTTGTGTAAATGAAGCCAGTATATTCAGCTTATTTTATTTTTACTAGTCATGCTAACCCAATAGGCCTATTCATTGACAAAACAGATGAAGCAACCAAGTGTTTGTCCTGAGTTAGCTACAGTGCAGTGTTACTGGGATTTTCCTTTCATATAGGAGACTAGATGAAAATCCCTAGTTCAGAGTCTCTTCCAACATAAAACTCTCATCAAACAAGAATGTTTTTACCTTAGTCTTCTATTGTTATCATAAAGTACTTTTTATATGTAGGTGAAGTATGATAATGATCTTACACACCATTTATTTGCTGTGGCATGTTACTCCTTATTGTCTTTATAATGTTCTGGTATTTATCTTTAAGAATTACTATTCTTCCTTTTCTCCCCATTGTTTTACCTTAAAATATCTCCTCAAGGGTTGATGAAACAAATATAGAAATTGTATTAAAAGACTTTACACTTACATTGTCAAGCAGCATCTGCAGTACAGAAAGGATTCAGCTCTTCTGGAGAGCAAAAGAGTAATATAGAGAACTACACCTTCTCCAGTGCCTTTTCTTTTCTGTGTTTTTACTGTTTGTTTATTTTGAGAGAGAGTGCGAGCAGGGTGGGGACAGAAAGAGGGAGAGAGAGAATCCCAAGCAGGGTCCAATACAGGGCTCCATCCCACAAATGATGAGATCATGACCTGAGCCGAAATCAAGTCGGATACCTAACTGACTGAGCCACCCAGGTGCCTCTCCAATGCCTTTTCTTTTGGCTTAGTCCTGCAGACTTCTGATTCCCTTATGTCCAATAGATGTTCCTTTTTCTTGACTCTAGCTGTCTGCTCACTTTTTTTCAGGGTTTGATCCCCATCCCACACCTGGTCTGGGCTTTCATTTTCCCATCTCAATGCTAATGGTTCAGAACAACTTTTCCCTTCTCTGTGACTAAATACAACACCCAGCTGCATTTAAAAAATTGTGAATGTTCATAATCCTTACAGTCCTCTTATTCTAGGATTCAAATGGTACTTTGATTGAACTCTTCCTAGGATTTTGTTCAAATAAAACATCTACCAGAAATTAAAGTTACTTTGAAGTCTCAGAAAGTTAATGTTTAACATATTCATTACTGAATTATAATTAATTTTTTGTACAAAAGATATTAAATATTGACCAATGGTCAAGAATACAATATTTTCATAGTCATAATATCCTGTCTTTGAAGTAATGTGTGTTTGGAGTTTAGAGTATGGACATGGGTCCTTAGTAGAGTAACTCATCACAGTATATCAAATGATAGGGATTTTTCCTATATCATATTACTATATATTATATACTGGTTTAGGAGAACCCCTATAATACATTGTATTAAAGATAGTTATATTATGCCATCTAACTTATGGTTAGTTACTACCAGGGCAAAGAAAACAAGATTCAGAGATTTTTGTCCATTAGAGGAGAATTCAGGAATTTAATTTAGAAATTCAAACACGTTGGCAGGGTGTCATATGAAGAAAAGAGGGAGACACATGAAATCAACTGCAAACACAGAGCACCTTCAAAATCAGTAGAATTCAAACTCATTTTTTCCAATTATCTCTAAATGATTTCTTGCAATTTCGTATTGCTTTTTTTTCCCTGTTTGAACTGAACTTGAATAATTTGAATTTATTTCGGCCCTTAGACTCTATCAGGGTAGGTTTCCAGGAAGACATCATTATGCATAGTACAACTTTACAAAATTGTAGTAAGCAGAGTGATTTAATCAGAATTGATCACTGACAAGAATGTTTTAAAAAGGACAATAGCACATAGTTGAGTGCTATTTTGTAAAAGAATTATCTGAGAAAGTAAACTAATCAATGACAAGTTACTCCTAAAGAAAAAAGTATTGCTCAAATTAAAAGTAGTTTGAAAAATGTAGAAAAACTTCTTTCAACATGCAGTAATTTGAGATGTTAGCTTCTAGTACATCCTTGGGAAAATGCTATATGTATATAAGTATATTCTGTATGGAGAAATGATCTGCTATGAGAATATACTTCAGAATCTTCATTATTTAAAACTTGCCTCCTTCCAAAAGAGATTTGCTAATGGCACGTTAAAAGGAAGCTAAAGAGCAAAACATATAAACAAGGCCAACTACATAATTTGCAGGGCCCCATGCCAAATGAAAATGTGGGGCCTAATGTGCAAAAGGCAGGAAAAAAGTAACATTAGAAGTTCTAAAATATAGAGCTTTTTTTCTTTCTTCTGTGGTCTCTCTCAACTTGACAGGGTTTTGTATTTGCTGTTAATGTTGCTGTAAGTAAAAAAGAATGAAAAATTTTAATTAGGAACATAAATGTTACCATTCATCTTTATATTGTGCAAATGAATTTTAAATCCAAAGACGTGAGCATTTAACTCCTATGCAGAATCACGAAAGTACATAATTAATACTTCCTAGCTTGCACATGCATATTTGTTTCATTCTTACTAGAATAGTGTAAATGCTACGCAAAACTACCTAAACCATTTATTATTCATTTTACTTCTTTTTTTTTTAATTTTATTTATTTTTGAGAGAGAGAGAGAGAGAGAGAGAGAGAGAGAGAGAGAAACAGAGGATCCAGGCAGGCTCCACGCTGATAGCAGCAAGCCAGGACGCAGAGCTCAAACTCACAAACCTGTGAAATCATGACCTGACCTGAACTCAAACTTTCAACCAACTGAACCACCCAAAAGCCCCTCATTTTACTTCTTGATACCTGCCCTTGCTACCAATACTCTCTACCTACACTTACTAAAGATGGGCTAAAAGGAAAAGGAACTGTGAATTTTCCTATCCTTCTCTTTCCTTTTATGTCTTCATTTTTAGCATAATTATTGGGTTAATAGAGGGAAATAACAGAATTAAGAAAGGACATGGTAGAGTTCCTTGGTCATTCATATTTCTTAGAATGCTACTGCTTTCTTTCTGCATTTGAAGCGAGTTCTAGTGAAAAAGAAAATGAGGCCCCTTGCTTACTTAGTTGCAGATGGAACATGTTTACCTTGTACTTGTATTTTTGAGTCTTGCTGAACTCCCAAGTATCATGAGTCCACCAGAATTCTGTGTTCATGGGGCATTGCAAGTGCCGTGTATGAATGTAGTGGCAAGAAGCAGTAGACACAGATGTTGCTCTTATCTTCTCTGCTCACATGCATGCTCCATTGTCCCACTGGAATTTACTTAAAAATATAAGTTCGAAGACAAAAAGAACTTCAAGACGTTAATGGCAGAATGTTAAAGCAAGCGTTGCACCCTTCCGAGTGCAGGGCCCAACACGGACACACAGATTGCACACTCATAATGCTGGCCCTGCCTGTAATGAATAGGAAGAGAGTTAGGAAAATACTTGGATCAGAAACCTCACTTAAGGAGTAGGTGCTTCAGTATTGCACAAAAGTTAGCTCTAAATTTTCTAGAAACCAAGGCAAAACAAAATAAGAAAAAAAAAATGGTTATATAACTATAAATTTCCCATTTAAAATAAAATAAAATAAAAACATTCAGTTAGTTAAAAGACAAAAACTTTCCCGGGATCTGAGTAAATGCCACTGGAGGACAATCTTAATTTAGGTCAACATAGCATTTCTTTTAAATTTTTTGTAATGTTTATTTTATTTTTGAGAAAGGCAGAGTATGAGCAGAGGAGGCACAGAAAGAGAGAGGGATACACAGAATCTGACACAGGCTCCAGGCTCTGAGCTGTCAGCACAGAGCCCAACGCGGGGCTCGAATCTGTGAACCACGAGATCATGGTCTGAGCCGAAGTCAGACACCTAACCGACTGACCCACCCAGGCGCCCCTAGATCAACATAGCCTTTATTCAGGCAACCAATCAAGTAAGAACTTTGAATGTAAAAATGTCTAGTTCATTATGGAATGAAATTATTAGAAAGCTAAGCAATCTAATCATAAATGATATTTTAAAAACTGGCTGTAAGTGAACAATGAGTATAAAGACAATGTACACTTAAGGACTTCCTCCCAGTTCAGTACTAAAGGAGAATAGCTAATTTTAGAAAAATATACTGCAAAATTATTAGAGTCCAAGAGAATAAGTTGAATTTTGGCTGGGCCAGAGAAGGATTACTTGCCAAATATAAGGACCAGGTGGACTCTACACTGATACAAAATACTATTTGAATTTACAGATACTCTAGCCAGAGCATCAAGAGCCTTACCACCTGAAGAAGTAGCCAGAGTAGGAACCTGTGTCTGAAAATCTAATGTAGAATCTGGTAGGATGACGAAAAAGTAATGGCGCCAACAATAATCCTATGTTGTTTGTATTACAAATGAAAGGCAACATAGAGCCAACTGAAGTGTAACATAAAGTATTAAGGAAGGTTTGTTATTTCTTCGTAGGTGGCTTTAGTTCACAGATAAGTTATATGGTTCTATTTAGCATTTAGCATAATTATAGATGTGCCAAAACCAGATAACATGCAAACAGTATAACGTTTGGATGGGTTGATCAGTTATTCTGGCAGAGGGAAGACTTATCATCATTAAAATGTCAGTTTCCTGAAGTTAATATACACATTTAATGCCATTTT